GGGGCCACCATGCATGGCACACCACCCCTGAGGCCCAGAGATCTCCCTTAGTCTCTTACTCTTTCTGTCCGACCAGCACCAGTGCTTCTGAGTCCTGTCTGAGAGCCCATTAAGTGAGTTACTAAGCGGACTGCAGCAGGCTGTGGACCCCAGTTCTGCCTCTCGTGAGGATGGCCACTCTGGGCCGCCCCTGTGAGCGGCAGGAGCCCCCTGGTCCAGGCTATCAGCCTGCTTACCGAGCACCCACGAAGTTCTCTTGGGGGATCCTGGACGCCCACCTTTTGCTTTTTCTATGATAGCTCACTGTCGTGCGGTCTCCTTGTGGTCACTGGGGTTAGGGGCTGGTTTGGCCAGCCCTGCCAGCGTGATCTTGGGCTTGGAACGCCTGTGGTGTTGCTCAAGTATGAACTGCTCCTATTTCAATCTCTTTGGCTGGTGCGCATACAGGCCTGGAAACACACCCTGGTGCCATGAGTGCTGGGCATGGGTGGGCAGACTTAAGGGAGCCCCTCCAATAGCCTGGCCTTGGAGACCCCCCCGTCCACACCGTCACCCTCCAGGGAAGTCCTTGTGGGCACTTCCAGGGCTCTTCTGGGAGCTGAGATGAGGCCACCTCGGTGGCTTTAAGAGGAGCAGGCCCTGGGCAGGGCCAGCACAGGAGGGTTGCTGGGCTCGCCTGCTAAGTGCAGAGCTGCGTGTCCTGCCCAGGGGTCACACCACAAATCTGCCACCACCCACCTCAGCTCCTTCCTCTTCCTCATAGCTCAGTCATCAGGGCCCTGGGGCTCTGGCCAGTGTCACCAGCATGTCTTCTTCCTGCCTCTGTGGGCACCTTCACTTGGATAAATATTGATCTGGTTTCATTGAGCACTTCCTTCTGCCCCTTCCCCGTCCAGAGCCCTACCTCAGGGAGGGGGGGCAGGGTCAGCTGTGTGGGCTCCAGGTAAAAGTGCTGGAACAGCTGGCTTGCATGGCTTAAATTCAGCAAAGACCGAAATGCTGTTTTTTCAGAGAGCTGTCTTCCTTGGGGTTACAAGCTGGCAGCCACAGTGCCAAACCTCAAGACACTGATTCGGGCTCGGAAACAAGTTGCTGTCCTCCTGGGCCTCCCATGAGGTTTCACTGGGTGCCCCTATTCTAAGTGGCTGTGCTGACCACAGCAGCCATGGCCAAGCCATGCCCTGTATAGTTAGGTACAGTTTATGTGTGTCAGCCTGGGCGGGGGTGGGGCCCCACCACCCAAATACTGAAGGTACACCAGTGGGGGTTCCCTAACTAGAATGGGACTAGGGGGCGTGAGTAGTATCCCCTCCCGGTCAGCAGAAACATAGCTCAGAGAACATCAGTGACCTGCCCAAGGTCCTCTGGTTTCTTCTCAGGCCTGGTGCCCCGTGGGACTGGAAGTCACAGGGGCTGGGAGCAACCACCTGCAGGTGAGGGGATGTCCCAGCCCAGACTCCAGGCCATGGCCCCATCCACATAGAGATGTGCTCATTGCCACCCCAAAGAGAGGCCTGCTCAAAGCTGATGCAACACAAGTAACCCAAGGATTTCATAGCAATCCCTCTGTTACTTCTGTCTTTCAGAGGCCATGGAAGGGACCAGGATACTGGCTGTGCCCAAGAGGGCCAGGCCCTCTATTCCTGGGAGGAAGAGCTGCCTCCTAAGGGGACCACACTCTGCTACCCAGCTGCACAAAAATCAGCTCTGACAGGCTCAGGCAGGGCCCAGAGAAGTGCTGAGACGTCACCCTGGGCTCCTTACCCACCTGGCTAATTGCACCTTCACAGATGCGCCCCATCGCCTTCCAAATCCCTCCATTCTCTCTCTTCCCGGGTTCTCCGGGTTCTTCCCTCAACCCTTGTAGTAGCCCCTCCAGTACATCCCACAGCCACATGTGGTTTATGGCAAGCTTGGCCGCCTCTGGCTCCAGCAGGAAGGGAACGGGGTTCCTGTCTCCCTGCAAATGCTGGCTCTGCCGCACAGTGGTGCTCGCCACTGCGGCCCGGGCGGGGAGGGCACCGCCCTGCCGCGATGCTGCAGCCAGTAGCTCCTAAGTTAGTGAGGAGCACAGAGGGTGCTCACTGGCTCCCAGAATTCCCCAGTTGGGTCTCAAACAAGGGATGTGTTAATGTCACTGACCTGAATCCTTCTAAAAACAGGCTTCCCACCTCCTCTGCCTATTGTCTTCACTGAAGCCCCACACTAGCTGAGAATGCTCTGCCCATATCCTCAATGGCTGCAGCCCCAAAGGCCTCTCTGATCCCTGACAGGGGCGTTTGTGTGGGTGGGTGTCTGTGGGTGGGGAAAAGGATGGATGGATGGATGGATGGATGGATGGATGGATGGATGGATGGATGGACGGACTGGTGGGTGAGGAGATGGGTATCTTAGAGATAAGTAGATGGGGGAGTCAATGGAGGAGAGGGGTCTGGTTTGGATGCCACTGTGGACAGTGTCTTTCCCAGTTAATGTTGCTTTCGAAGGACATGGTGGGGTCAGGGCTTCCTCCTCAGTGTGGTCACTCCTGGGGGCATTTCAATAGTTATGCCATCACCAAAGCTCTGCAAGATGGCAATTCAGACATGAAAATGAGGCCCCTGGGGCAGTGCCTTGCCCAGGGTCACCCAGCCTCAGGTGCCACATCCTCCACGCTCAGCCCTGAGCGGCCCCAGAGCCCAGCCTGACCCATGCTCTCTGTCTGGCAGCTCAGGGCACCAGGGCCTCGCTCAGTTGTCCCCGGGCAGACCTCCCTCTCAGTGATGCTGCTGTCCCCTCTCTGAACCTGCATGTGGACATCTGGTGGAGAGGCCCTGTGATATGAGCGCCAGCCAGTACCTTGAACGTTCTCGGTGGCCTATTATATGGGCTGAGCACTCGGCCTCAAGAGCTGGCCTGGGACCAGCTGAGGAGGAGCGGCCTGGGGGTGCCACCATGAGGATGGAGGGGCCTGTGTTTGTGCTGGAGTACTGCTCTGGTAGACCGCTTAAGAAAATGATTTTTTCTGCATATCCAACCTGGATAAGGACCCAGCTGACGACAGAGCTCCTCCTCCTCTTCCAGGTCTCCCACCACTGTCCCTGCTGCCCTCAGAGCCACCCTGGTGCAGCCCAGTCTCTCCCACCCAGGCCTCATCAGGCCCCACTCTGTTCCTTCAAGATTCGTGCTTCTCTGAGCATAAATACAAATCTGAGCACATCACCCTTTCCCAAAACTTCCCCCTGGCCTTAAAAAATCTAGCTCCTAAGTTTGGGCCTCCAGGCCCTGTGAGATGGGCCCCTGCCAACCCCTCCTCTTCACCCCCCCCCATTCTGAGCTGGCCTTCACAGCCAGTCTTCCCGTGCAGAGCTCCGCCCACGTGTCCCTCCTTATAGCAGGGACCCTGGCCTGTGAGTTCCATGGAGAACAGTGACTGCTGTGCCCTAGGACAGCATGTGTGGCTCAGAGGAGGGCCCAGGAGCTCTGCCGGATGCAGTCAGGATGGAGTCGATAACATCAAGGACCACTCCAGCGTGCCTTTGGCTTCTTCTAAAGGACTTGATTCATGGCTCTCTGGCAGAAGAGGGGACGGAGGGGAGAGGAGGTGGGTGGGCACTCCTGAAGAGCTGGGCTGCAGAGGAGGGGAGGGGAGAATATTCCTAGTAGGCAGGAAGGGCTGAGGGACCTCAAGATGGGAACACACCATTGCCCCAGGGCATGGCCCCCATGGCCCCTTCTGCCAGCTGAATTCTCTTTCCCACCTGGAGTCCCTGGTGCTCTGGGGAGTGAGGGTGGGCTAGGACTGGGGACACTGACTGCAGCCCTGAGCATCTAGCCCGAGCAGGGCCAGAGGAGCCCAGAGTGTGAGCACAGCCCCACTGGAACCAGACACACGAGAGTGGGGTTTCTACCACATGAGGATGCTTAGGCTGGCATCCTGATGGCCAACACCGAGGCTGAAGCATTCATTCAGAGAAGTGGCTACATTCAGCCAATAATACCGTAGAGTTAAATTGTCCAAACCCAATGGGAGGGCGGTCTTTTCTGTATTCACATTTAGATTTATTATAGAAGTAAAAATAACAAACCCACCAACCACCTCTTCCCACTAGAGTTGAAAATGAGGCTTGAACAGCAGGCATCACGCCAACAGGGGGGTGGGGTGGGGTGGACCCAGCAGGCCCTAGACCCCGGAGGAGTGTTAGAGGCCTGGATGGGGCAGGCACAGGGCGTGGCCTGCAGGGTGGCCTCTGGCTCCTGAGCTTTGCTGGTTTTTTTGTTCTCCTGGTGAGGTGCCCACAGGACTGCTGACAGCCCTGCCTGGCCCCCATGTGCCTGGGTCCAGCCCGGAGCCTGGTCCAGGAGTCATTGTTGACTTCCCCTCCTGAGCCCCTGGAGCTGCTGCTGGGTCAGCCCTTCCCAGGAAGCATGCTGAGGCTGAATCCAGATGGCCAGTGTCGCGCCCCCGTCTGCAGTCACCACTGTGCCAGACACTCCCTTGTGAAGGGATGTTGCACAGACATCACCTGGCAAGGCCACTTACAGCCCTGCCACACTCTGCTGGCTGGAGCTCATCTCCCTGGGTGGGGCCTGAAACTGGGGTCCCAGCTCAGACCCTGACCTCGGAGTCCAGGCACGCACTCAGACAGGAAGGTGACCCCAGGCTTGTGCTCTACCTCTCTGGGCATCCTGAGTGATCATAGGCACATGCTTCACATGGGGAGACATGGGGAACCGGTAGCAGTGACCCAGCCTGGGCCACGCCCTCAGGCCCATCGGCCACAAAGTTCCATGTCACTTTGGATATAAAGTAGATAGGAGAGCGCTTTTGTAGCCCTCCAAGCCCAGGCTGGGTGCTTCCTGGTATCCTGGTGCCTCTCTGGCGCTCTCTGCTGGTGGCTTTGGGGAGTTGCTCAGGCTCAGCTGCCTCTGCCGCCCTTTGGTGGCCTGTCCAGTGGCCTTGTGGGGCTGACAACCCAGGAGAGGAATGCCAAAATCAAATCTCCAAAGAAAGCTGAGACTTAACTGAGAACCCATTCATTGTAACTCAAAGACTGGCATCAAATTTATTATTATCTTTTGTTAAATATTTCAGATCTTTTCGGAGCACTGGGTGTACAAGGGCATGGTAGGTTTTCTTCCCAGTACATTTTTCGTGTGTGCGGTTGTGACAGGAGAGGTGGCACAGGTGGCATGCACAGGGAGGCGCCTGGGGGGTCAGGCTCTGCACCTGCATCATGCATGTGGCTTCTCTAACAGCCTCTGAACCTCTCTACCAGGTAAACCTGAGACCCAAGTCTCACAGTCATGTGGCATCAAAGGAGCAGGTCCAGCGGGGACCATGAAGATCGGTCACATGTGCACTGTAGGTATCCTGAAGACACAATACACACTGGGGTGGGGTGGGGGAGTCTAGGCAAGCCCCTGCTCGTTGCACGGTCGCCTGTCCTGCAAGCGTCTCGTGTGGTGGGGGTGAGGTGTCCATCTCTGTGGCGCTAACTGGGAGGAGGGTCTTCCTTCTCCTGAGGGTGGGGGTGGCTGGGCAGTGTGAGCTGGGGTGGGGGTCTGAACAGAATGGCTCCAGCCTCCAGAGGGTCCTTGACTGCTCCCTTGTGACGACAGACGCTTGAACTGCCAGGACACCGACATCGGGCAGAGACCAGGGGACAGGAGAAAGGGTCCTCCTGAGGCTCCTGAGGCCACAAGAACATCTGCTGATTGCCTGGTGGCATGGAGCCTTCTGCCGTGGAGTCCCTGGTGTTCACCGGGCATAAGGACCTTCACAGCTTGGGAGGTGCCTCGGGCGGCAGATCCAGGCCCCAGAGGGAAGAACCAAGCACTTTTTCAAAAGGGGCTGCACTAGACCGTCAGCTGCTTCTTCCAATTCTGGGCCGGCAGGTGGGGCTGGAGCCTCCTCCAGAAGAGGCCGTGGCTGCGTCTGCTATGATGGCACCAACTGGGGAGCAGGGGCAAGAACCATCTAGATTCAGAAAGAATTTCCCTGGGCTCCCTTCAGACTGAAGTTTTAAAAAAGTAAATTCTTCACAGCAGCTCAGTGTCTGAAGTTCTAAAGAAAATAATCCGTAGGCTCATTCCCACTCAGTGGAGGGTGGGTGTAAGGGGCGCTGCAGAGACAGCTGCCCCTGAGGTGGTGAGCTGTTCGCCTGGGCTCGGGAGGAACGCCCCACCCCCACCACTCCTCATCGTGCTTTGAGATGAGAATAAGGGACTGTCCCTTTAGCCCTGGAGCTGCAAGAGAGAAAGGCCTGCCCAGGGGAAGAAACAGCGTTTGAGGAGGGGGCCGGGAGGCTGCAGCTCAAGTCTGGCTTCGCCCACATCATCTGTGAATGTCAGACCCTCAAATTCCTCATCAGAAAATGGGGACCACGCTACTGGCAGCCGTCGTGGGAGGAGGCAATCAAAGGGACATCCCACTGGGAGTGCCTGGCCCAGGGCTGGGCTCTAGGGATGTTAAACTAAATGGAATCTGATGTGAAGGGGAGAAGGGTCCTGGGGGTCCATGGGGAAGTCCTGGGCCGGTGTGGTGATGGAGTTTGGGGAGCCCTGGAGCTTAGGTTTTGCTCTTCATAGCTAGGAAGGGGTAGACAGGGTGGAGGAAACGCCTCCTGGCTGGACCAAAGGAGATGAGCTCCCAGCCTGGGTCTCCAACCCTCCGCTTGCCCTGCCAAGCATGGCCCTGCCAACTGTGGGAGCCCAGGGCCGTGGGGGCCTTGCCAGAGCCTCCTCAGTAGATGTTATCTGCGAAGAAGGGTGCGCGGGCCAGTGGGGTGCAGTCGCCCTCCCCACGCGGCCCCACCAGCTCCCCATACTCGCTGTTGTAGAACACCTGGCCTCCCTGCGGGCCCCGGTCGGGCCTCCGCCGCCGCCCCTGGGGGTCAGGGTGCGCCCTGGTCACGTCCACATTCCAGCCGGCTCCTTTACAGCTGCTGAGACAGGGAAGGCGGTGTCAGCAGGAAATGAGGGAAGGAGGGACTGGACCGGGCAGGTCTGATTGGAATCACCGAAGACATACCTGAGCTTAAGTGAGTGCAAAGCCAGTGGAAATACACCCAGGCTCCACTTAAATAGCAAACCAGACCCATGTGACTGTCGGCAAACACTGGAGTTTTCTCCATCCCGAGCCTGGGTGTGGGACGACGGAGGATGCCCAGCTTCAGTCCCCCAAACCTGCTTCCCGCCCTGTCTTGCCACCTCCGTAAATGGCACCAGAATTGATTCCGTGGCTCACACACCTGGCCGGCATCCTTGCTCCCCCCTTCCTCTCACCCCTCATATCCAAGCCATCCAGGAGTCCTGTCTGTTCTAACTTCAAATATATCCCTGGCCCCGTCTCCACGTCCCGCCCCTACTCTGGAGCAAGCGGCCATCCTTGTGCGTCTGCTCCGCCCTCCCAAGCACACCCTTTTCCCTCACTTGTCCCTCCCTCTAGTCAACTCCTCAGAGATCCTTGAAGTTAGAAGATCTTCTCCTCCCAACAGACCCTCCAATAGCTTCTTCCCATCACCCTCAGAATGAAGCCCAAGCTTCTCTCCCTGGCCTAGCAGGCCCTGCACATCCCAGCCTCTCCTGCCTCCCGTGACCCCATGGTCCGCCCGCCTTAGCTCTGGCTTTCTTTGAGTTCCTTGACAATGTTGTTCTGTTGCTTTTGTTTGGTTGGTGTTTCGAAGGTACTATTGCAAAGCTTGATGTCAATCTCTTTTTTCTTCCCGAGTTGGCCTTTTTGCCCAGATTCCCAGAATGTTTATCTCTAAAGTCTAATAGTTCACCTAAGATATGCCTCAGAGTTTACTGTCTGGGCCAGCTTTCCCAGAGGTAGAGTCAGGTCTTTTACTTAGGAGGGTTATCTCGAATTACAAGTTTAAAATAGTAATTCTGTTCCACTCTCAGCATTTTCTTCCCCAGAGACTCCAATTTTACACATATTGGATCTTTTTCTATTCAATTTCTATATCACTTTTTTTTTTCTTTTTTACCTCTATTAAATATTTCCACTTTATTTTCTTGACTGTTTTCATGTCCATCTTCTGGGTCCTCCACTGCAAGTCTGACCCCATCTATTGTCTCTTAGGTACCCTGGTATTCATATTTCAACTTCTTTCCTGAACTTAGCTTCCAACTGATATCTCCACACTGTCCACATCTATTCTACATTTTTATTTTTATTTATTTTATTATTATTATTATTATTTTAAAATAGATCTTTATTGATTTCAGAGAGAGGAAAGGAGAGGGAGAGAGAGATAGAAACATGAATGATGAAAGAGTCATTGATCTGCTGCAGCCCGCAACCCGGGCATGTGCCCTGACCAGGAATCGAACCCTGATTGCCTGGATCCTAGGTCGACACTTAACCGCTGAGCCACGCCTGGCCGGGCTATTCTACATTTTTAAATTTCTGATTCCTAGTGCAGCTGCTTGTGTAATTACATGTTTAAATCATTTTGGAGTGTTTATCACAGTTTTTCTACCTTCTTTTTTGTTCATATAATATCTCTGTATGAATAGTGCTTTTTCTTTTTTCTGCTACTGATGATTCATGCTGGGATTTCCTAGACCAGAATAGCTAGTGACCCAATGAAAGGGGCTAGGGATGTGGGTGGCTTTCTAGATTTCTTCATTCAGGAGTACTGTATCACACCCACATCTTTGGTGTCACCTTGAATTCCTTCAACTGTGTCCTTCTTTCCAACAGCTCCTTTCATGTCCCGCATCGCATCGTATTGCCACCAGGGACCAGCCAGCCACTTAGCTGGGAGTGCGGGGCCCCCTCTTGGCTGCTGCTATGCTGACCTCCCACAAGCCCAGGGCTGGATGATATACTACACTGCAGGGCGTGGGATCTGGCATCCCAGGTGTCCACTGAAAGGGCTGGATGAGTAAGCTGGAAATGAGGACGAGTTAACTCCCCATGGGGTGAGTGCTGACCAGTGGTTAACAGAAAACAGGAAGGGACTGGGAGATAAATGCACTCCTTCCCGCCTCAGACCCCTCTGAGGCACATTCTCTGCTTGCACCTGTGTGGGGAACATTCCATGTGCCAAATGAATGCACCTGCAGCACTTGGTGGATCATCATGATATATTTCCAGTGGGAACCTGTACACAGCATGTTGCTGCAACCATGAAAGGAGTTTCTGTGATGAATGGCTCCCTTCAATGTGTGTCTGTCTTCTGGATTCTTAATATGATCTTGCTTCTGCAGGACTCTCATCGTCTGTGACTTCTTCCCTTACCACCAAGCATCTGAGATGCATGCCCCCTTCCTGCTCACTGCTCTTCAGAAGCAGCGTCTTCCCGCAACGGCGGCCCCGGTGCCTCAGACTTTCCCAGGAGCCCTGCTCTTCCTACCAGGTCTCAGCTCAGTCTGGGACCACTGTCCCAAGGACCTGGTCACAACTCCCTCTCCTGGGGCAGTCCCTGTCTACCTCTCCTTCCGCTGTGGCTCAGGCATGGCTCTGCTGGTTCTAGGGCTGAGTTCCCTCCTTACAACCAGAGTCTCTCTCCTGGTTATGTCACAGGCTCTGAGTGGCCTTATTCTATGTGTGAAGATTTGAATTTAAGTAGCTATCATCCCTTCGCTTATCTTCTTATGGAATAACTTTTTTTTTTTTTTTTAGAAATAAAATACTGTTTGGTAAAGAAACATTAGCCAGAAACTATTTCTGTTAATGCAATTAGCATTAATGTCCCCAAACCAGGTTACTAATAGAGGTCACCAGATAGAATCGATAAAAACAAAAACAGAGGCCAACATGCCCCATTCAGATGCATAATTATTCCTGGGCATATGACCCTACAAATGGCAATGTTTACAGTCCTGCAAACTCTCCCTTTATAGGCTGCTGGGAAAATAACCAATAGTTGGTGTTGATCCCAAGATTGAATGTACCTGTTGAGAAGGGCTCCTGGTGGCTAACTGGGCTCAAATTTATAAACAGAGCCTAGCAGCTGTTGTTAGATAGGGGCCTCTCACACAAGCTGCACCGCAGAGAGAGGCCTGCATTGCACTGCCTGCCTGCACTGCATTCCCACTGGCTGAGCCAACCCTTCAGCCAACAGGACTGAGACTTTCCTTGTCTAATCAGAACTGCACAGCTATATCCTCATAAGCATCTTCACCAACCAACCAGAGAGGCTCCATTCCAACCAATCAAGACAGTGTTTTTTGGACAGATCAAGCTGTGAGGATTTAAAATCCTCATTTGCATGAAGACTGACCAATCAGGGTTTGCAGCAGGGATTTCTCTCTCTATAAGTCAGCTTCCCTCTGACCAGGGAGAGTGCACTTTTCATTTCCACAGAAGATTACAGACTGCTGGTTCCCCTGCTGGAGCTGAAACACCACAGCGGGCTCACTAGTCCGGAGCAGAGCAGAGCAGACGGTGGAGCTGAGGTGAGTGGAGCAGCTGTCTAGCCAGAAGGGGGCCTTGCGCCCAGGGCCTCCTCACAGCCGTGCTAGGTCATAACTGAGCTGCAACACTATTGAGTTGTCTCACAGACATGCTGTTCCACATCTGTGCTGTAATCATAATTGAGCTTTTTGCACTGAATAAGTTCTCCTCTTTCACTGCACCCTAAACTGAAAATACCTGTTGACATTGAATTGGTATCAGTGACCATTGGTTGACATTGGTTTAGTTATAGAGGTCATAAATACACCTACCAGAAAGGTGAAAAAATACATCAACTATGCTAATGTGACACAAATAAATACTTATGGTTTATGGTAAGATATTCAGTGACAACATATAAATTGATTAGAAAAAAGCATAGGCAAAAGCCAAGGCTGGCTTTAGGTAACTGTGTCAGACGACACAAAAGGGGCTCTTAGCAGAGATGCAGATGTCAAAGGTGGAAGTGAGTGATCTAAGAAAGCAGAGAAGAGCCCTGTTTTGTGTAATACTGTAGGTCTTGCCATTTAAACAACTATGTTGAAGTCAACTAATAAAGTGAATCAGTAGACATTTAACTATTTTATCTATACCCTTAAAAGTTTAAATATTCACAATTTTTGGGAGGGGTTATCTTCTTGGGAAAATGGTGGTCACTTTCTATCCAGGTCACCTTCTGTACAGGCACACCAGTGAGGATTTCTCTGTAGCTGTATTCTTATCAAAACAGGAAACCAGCCAGCTCCAGGTTACATGATCTGTCTGGCTCCACAGACCACTGGCCTAAGTCTTGGGGGCTTGGGGAATGGTGGTGGCCTTCCCTGGCTGGGCTGTGAGCACCGGACATGGTGGATCATACTCGGTTTCACAAAGAGGTGGTGTCTGAGCATCTGTCAGATGGAAGGGAGATGTGGGGACCAGAACCAGGTGTGCTGTGTCAGGATAGTGGTAGGGAAGGGTGCTCCTTTGGGAAAGCTGGTGGCCAAAGGCCTAGAGTCCCAGAGTGGATTGCCTTGAAGACACAAAAAGGCAATAGGGAGCCATGAAAGGTATCAGGTAAGAGAGTGACAGGCACACACAGGCCCAGCCTACCTCCCTGGACCCCTTGCAGGGGAGGAGACTCAGGAAGCCCTACCTGAGCCCGCCTTCTTGTCTGTGCCTGCTCTCCAGCTGCTCAAACTCCTCGGAGGCCAGCACCATCCCGCTGTCTGTCTGGTTATCCTGTGTGGATAGAACAAGCCAAGGCTATGAGACCCACCAAGGCCAGGCTGCAGGCACCTGCCCCAGGCAGGATGGGGCCACATGGACCTGCACTGCACCAACCTAACACCCATCTCGTGAGCACGAAACAGGTGTCTGTTCCCTCACTGAAGCATGCAGGTGGTCATACGCCCCACCACAGAGGGAGAGGCCGAGGCAGCAAAGCTAGGATGCCCCATGGTGGGGACCTATAAAGCAGCTATGAATGTATTCAGGGTGCCAGATAGGACAAGGGTCTCGAGGTCTGGACAGTTCTTATTAAATGATATTCTTGCTAAATTTTAAAATGTAGCACAGTATTTTGCAGCAGTAAACAGGATGAGCTTGACAGGAACTCTACAGATAAATGAAGCCAACTGAAAAAAAGAAGTCAGCGTGTCACTGACCAAATAGTGTACAGAAGCTATGACTAAGCTTCCCTTCAGGGAGACAGGGCTTTGGATATGGATCCCCTGTCTCCTTGCTGTAAGTAAATAAAGCTACCTTGTGACAACCACGTGTCATTCTTAAATAGAGCAATCCAAGCAGTGAACTCGCAGTGACAAGTATGGCAACTCAGATGGACTCTCCTAAAAGCTGTCCCTTTCAGCTTGGTTGGACACTTGCTGAAGCAGTGGGCAGCAAGCAGCAGCTCGCCCGGGGCCTGCTCGCTGTCGTCTCCACTGGATGGAGAATCTGCTCCGCAGGAGAACCTGCTCGGTGCCGACCATCAGAATGGCCGCCTGGAGTGACCACCTAAACCTGTTTCATTCAGTGTTTCAGAGGGAGGTGGGGAGGTGAGCCCCTGTGGTTGCTTTAATTAGCATTTCTATTCCTGTTTGGGGGTACAGGGTTGTCAGAAAGGTGGTTTCAGTTCTGGTGCATGTTTGATTTCTGGTTGGTCGGGCAGGAACCATCTAGGATGCCAGATTCAGAACTGAATAAAAAGCTCTGTCAATTTGACTTCAAGAACTTAAGTACTTATATAAATAAGGAAATATAACAAACGGGTAGATGGTAGGAAGCTGCCTGTCCTGTCCAAGGCGGCCTTACTCCAGGCTGGGAACCTACTGTGGGTTTGGGGAGCACTGTTCTACGTGCAGCTTCTTTTCTTCCTTGGGTTTTAGCACTTACTACCCACACACTAGCTTCTCCCCTGCAACGCCCACCGCTTCCACCAAGGAGGGCACTTTCTGGAGCACCCGTGCCAGGGTTGAACCCGATGGGAAATGGGAATGGCGCCCCAGCAATTCCCTGAACAACCACGAGCTTCCCATCAGACAGGCTGCACCACCTTCACTGGGGAGGAGCCCTGAGCTCATGGTCTCGAGCTGAGCTGAGATAAAGAGAGGGTCTTTCACCTAGAAGACAAGCAAGGCTGAGCAGCGAAGATTTGGCCATGGGGACTTGGGGGCCAGGCCATGGCTAATGGAAAAAATACATGCTTGCGGTTATATGGGAAGAATTACTAGTTTTATCTATGAGATCTTCGAATAAGACTTTCACTGCTCTGAAAAATAAGAAAAAAATTACATGCCACAAATCTTCAAAGAGTCCCACTGATGTAAAGAGATGTTCTATTAGCAGGTGTGATTTCAGAAATTTTACCACCAGTGTGGTAACACAGGCCAAATATTCTAAGAGTATTGAAAACAACACACACACACACACACACACACACACACACACACAAAACTAAGATTATCTGATTGGATTGGTGCCAGAAAAAGGGAGAAAAACATGCTATGATTTAAAAATGTAGTTTGAGCAAACTTCACTGGACTTGCAAAACTAAGCAGGTAGAATCAATCACATGTCTGTATTTTGAGTAACAGAAGCCAAAAGGGTGGGCTTCCTAGCCACGGGGTATGTGAGAAAGGTGGAAATAACGAACTACTTTAGTAAGGTTTGGAGCGGTCCTGAGAAGTGATTTACTGGTTTCTTATACATTCACCTTCAGGATGGTTTTGAGGTCACTGACTCTGGGCAGGTGCACAGTCACGCATTCCCTGTGTCAGAGTCCAACCAAGTCCTGAGGACTCTTGAGACCTCAGCCTCTTTTCTGAGCAGCCCATTAGCTCCCCTTCCTCTCTCTTCTAAAGTTGTGGGGGTGGCTGGAGGTGGGGCAGGTCAAAGTGAGAGAGCTCGTTCTCTGCATCCACAGTCAGGAAAAGGTGCTTCTAAGCTGTGTCCCCTCCTTGAGGGTGGCCCCCACTCAGCTTGGGCACAGGCCCCTGTGGCTTTGGGAGTCTGCTGACTGGCAGTGGGATGGGCTGCCGGGCACTTGCCCTGCTGCGGAGGCAATGAGAAGTAAGCAGCCCAGTGATTTGTCACAGGCAGAGGCAGCCACGGAAGTTTAGGAACAGACACTGCACTGTTGGGGTGCAAGCTGGAGGGAGACAGGTGCAGGGAGGCCACACCTCTTTTTAGCAGATTGGGCCTGAACTGTAGCATGCTAGCCAAGCTATAAAACGAGGTATCCTGGGCTTGTCCTCTGGCTCTCACAGTCCCACTTGTCTGGACAGGGTGGGGCCAGCCTTGGGGAGGCCTCCTCAGTCCCTCTTCTCTAGGAGTCCAGAGCCAGAGGGCTGAGAAGAGCCGGGACCTATAGCTGCTGGAGCGAGGGCCGTGGCTGTATGCATGAGGAGGGCACCGGCAAAGCAGCTGAGAGACTGGGGTACTGCAGGAACCCCCAGCCCCCAGCATGGTGAGGCGCAGCCGGAATGCACCCAGGGACAGCGGGCTCCCTTGCCTGAGCTGGTTCCTGCAGCCCGCCTCCTACAGAGAAAGCCTGGAGGCCCTGAGCTGGGGTGCACAGCCCTCCCACTTACCACCGATGCCTTGTAGGTCGTTGGGGTCATGGGAAATTCTTCGAACGTTTTCATCCTGGAGGGACCCTGGGTCTGAGCCCCTCTGGCCAGGCTCCCAGGAAAGGACACACAATTGTAATATCTGTGGGGAGAAAACAGAAAGTGCTGAAGAAATGCACCCCAGCATCCCTCCTGAAAGCTCGAGCCCCCTCTCCCACCCTGTCTCCTGCTGGGAGGGACCCAGGTCTGGGGTTGTGTGCTGCCCTGGCCGCCCTCCTGGGTACCCTCACACTTCTGCAAGAGGATTAAACCTCCCGAGGGCACTGCTGGGGACAGTGCAGAAGGGGAGTGGCGGCACCCAGCGGGTGTGGAGTCTGGGGAGGCCTTCACCAGCCCCGTGCCAGGCAGGCAGTCCTGCAGGCCACCGCCTGGCCTGCGAGTGCGCACGGGTGTGTGCGTGTTGAGGGGTTGATGGAAGGAGCCTGGCGAGAATCAGCTGGCTGTTCCTGTCCTGGGGCCTGGCTGGGATCTGCACTGGGGCAGAGGGGCAGGGGTCTCAGAGCCTCCCCCTCAGCAAGGCCAGTGGGAATGAGGTGTCACTAAGAGAGCCCTCCAACTGGAACTCTGGGACCCCAGGCTACGTTCTCAAACCGAGATTCTGGTTAGTGGGTGGCCTACCCTCCTCTCAAGGATCCCTTGGCGCTCATCACCCCTGCCTTTTCTCTTCTTGAGATGCAAAGCCAGCCTGGCTACTGTACCCCAGATGGGCATTCCCTCTAAATTGGAGAGTCAGGGGGGCTGGGAGTGCAGGAAGACGGAGGGCAGAGAGAACAGCAAGGAGCAAAGTTGCAAGGCCAGGTGGCCCTGCAGGCCCCCCCTCACCCGACCAGGAGGGCATTGCCAATACCAGCACTGCCATCTGAAACTGCTTTGAAATTACAGCGATCTCTCAAGTCCTTGTCGTTGGCTTTATCCTTGATGACTGACGATAAAATACACCATGCCTAATCTGCTTTCTCCTCACTAGGGGGAACCCCTGGACCTGGGAGGGGCTGACCTGGCAGCCAGGCTGTGCCGGTGCAGGCTTGGCCAGCTGCCCTCCTTGGTGGCGTCAGCCTCGGGGACATGCAGGGCTGTGGTGGACGCCTGCAAGAAGCTGCCCTCCTCCAAGCTCAAGCTGCAGGGTGCCATGCAGTCCTCCTCCTCCTGGTGACAGGAATGGGAGAGGTGGCTAGGGTCAGAGGCCACCGTGCCCCCTCAGCCCCAGCCCAGCACTCAGGGCTGCTGGAGTCCCCGACCTGAGAAGTGCTTCCCTCTGAGGGTTGAGCATTAAGTGAGCCAGGGGAGCAGGCCCAGCAGGAGGATCCCCAGGGCGCCCCTGCTCTGCAGCCTCAGGAACCAGCACCAGTGCTTCCCACCCTCCTCTTGAGGCCGAACTGGATGCCAAGTGCCATGGCCTGGGTAGCAGGCCTCCCTGCTCACTGCTCCAGGTCCCAGAGCACCGTGTGACCCTAAGCCAGTCCTGAGCGCCCCAAGGGGAGTGACCACAAGGCAAGGGCTGGTGCAGGGACAGAGTGGCAGCAGGTGTGGGAAGGGGGGGAAGCAGGGAGGAGGAACACATCACTCTTCTGCCTGGAGCAAGGGACTCCTCCAGGGCCAACAGGGCTCTCACCATACCACATGACAGCCCAAGTTGCTGCAGCAGGACACAGCCGAGAGGGGCACTCACCTGCCAGCCCCCACCCTGGAGCAGGTCCCCCAGTATCTCCACCAGCTCTGAGAATGCAGGCCTCTCTTTGGGGTCTCCAGACCAGCAGCTTAGCATGATGCGTCGTCTGGAGGGAAATGCTGCTGGGCTGGGGTGTGAGGGCCACACCCTGCACCAGCAGACCCGGTCCCCCCACCTCGGCCCTCACACCCACCTGCCTGTCCCCTATCCCTAGGGCTCAGGCACCCGCTGTCCCTCCTGCTTTCAGGAAGGAGAGGGGTAGAGAGAGAGTATGTCTACAGGCCTCTATCCCCACCCCTGCCTGCATTACCTCCCTACTCCTGCCCCCTACCTGCATGTCTACTTCCGTACCCACCTCTCCTGACCCCCAAAGCCTGCTTGGTCAGCAGAAGACTCACATGGCAGGAGTGGCCAGCTCTGGGGCCCTCATCCGGGTGCCCTCTTTCAGCCGCTGGCAAAATTCCTCGTTGATCTGCACCCCTGGGTACGGGGAGGCCCCTGACAGCAGGAATGGGGTGGGGGTCGGTGGGGGGCAGGCAACTACTGCTCAGCCCAGCCTCCCAAATTGCCTCTGCCCTGGGGTACTTGCCCAGTAGCTCCTGGCAGGGGCCCTGGCAGGGGCCGGGGCAAGGCACTCCCCTCCCCCAGGGCCAGTTCTTTTTTGGGGTAAAATAGGAGGGAGGCACCGCCTGCTAGAGTTGCAGCAAGCATCAATGCTTTAGTGAAAACAGGGTTCTGGGATCATCAGGGTCCTAGGGGCCTTTTGGTCTCCCTCTGTCCCCCTAGGGCAAGCCACACAGCAGTATGAGCCAGACTGCTTCCACCCTTGCTCAAAGCCCAGCACGGCTCCCATTAGACTGAATTCCAGATACTCACCCAGCCTGCATGGCCCAAAGGAGCTGCAAGGCCACCTCTCCTATCTCTCGCTGTATCTATTGACCCCAGCCCTGCCCACCTCCAACCTTTAGTGACCCTGGGCCTGGCTGCCCTCTGGCCCTGGCTACTGTCCTTCTAGGCCCACTTGCCTCACCCCACCCCTTCACCAATCCAGCCCCTCCCAGACCCTCTGGCTCACACCTAGCATCCTTCCTGGGCACTCCCTGCTCTTGCTTTAGTAACAGCATCCATCCCAGTGGCCATCCAATGCTTTTACTTTCCCACTTGCTCACTGCCTTGCCCCACCCTAGCATAGGGGCTTTATCTTGGTCCCAGCAGGGCCCAGGTTCCCATGTGGGGCTTGCATAAGTAGGTGGAGACCCAGAGTGAGCACTGAGCCTCCTGCAGTCCTTTCCCCAGCTCTTGGGCAAGAGCAGCATCCCCACAGCAGATGAGGAAGGGCTCAGCCAGGGAGGGAGATTTTGGAGGACCCACTATGACTCTCCCTCTGAGACCTGTGGTGAGTCAGGGGGCTGCCAAGTGAACACAGGCTCTGTCCTGGCACAGGCTGGAGCCCAAGACCCTCCAAAGGTGCCAGGATGGCCCATGCAGGGGGATAGGGAGGGGGGTTCTCAAAACACCTGCCTCACAACGACCTGGCTGTATGCTCCAGGGTTGCCCAGCTCCCTGCACCATAGGGGCTGGTGGTGCCTGGAGCCTGTGAGCCCACCTGTCCCCTCCCTGCACCCTGCCCTGCACTTACCCAGGGAGAAGATCTCCCAGAGCAGCACCCCAAAGGACCACACATCACTCTGTGTGGTGTACACCTTGTCAAAGATGCTCTCAGGCGCCATCCACTTCAGGGGCAGCCGGGCCTGCAGGAGGCAGAGGAAGTGTGTCGCACAAGGGAGGGAAGACAGGAAGAGGCCAAACCCTATGCAGCCACCCTCCAGCCCCTAGTTTCTCCTGGACTCTGGGGCCATGCCACAGCTTTTGGCTGGCTCCTGCAATTTGCCCTGCTCCCGTCACCCCCCCAGAAGATACTTGGCACCTCCCTGAAGGCTTCCTGTCTGCTGCTGTCCTGGGTCCATGCAGCCCCTCTTGGCTCCTGCACTCTCCCAGAAGATCTTGCACCCATCCTCCAGCTCCAGACCCTCAGTCCAGCCTCTGGAGGAACTGGGTCCCTGCAGGCCTTCTTTCCCCCACCTCATCCACTCACTTGGACCCCACACTTGGAAGCCCAGTGTCACTTCCGGCCCCTCCTCCTGTGGCTCCTAATGTACTTCCCACCATCTGTCTCTCTCCCATTGATGACCTCTACCTGGGATCCCTAAGGGCCATGGCCCTTCCTCACTGGCCTCCACATCCACACCAGCACCCCACTCCTATCTTCTCATAAACCCCAGGGGGGCTTCTGGAATGCACTCCTGCCCCTCACTTCCACACATCCCACCTCCTGCCCCTCACCTCCAGACACCCCACACACCTGCCCCTCACCTCCCTGTGCCCCTACACCTGTGAATTAGAGTGAAAGAAAAAAGCCTTCTGCATAGTGGCCTATCACAGACTGGACCCATCCTGGCCCTTGCCTCCCTCCAGCCCTCTTCCTTCTCTGGGGCAAACACTTAATCAGCTGTGGGTACTCATTCAGGTGCCTGCCTGACCACCTCTGAATGCCACCAACAAACACACGGCAGCTAACAGCCATGTGCCTGCCCTGCACCTGGCCAGTCCATCTCCAGGGTGGACACCATGCAGGGTGTCCCTCTGCATGTGCAGCCCCCACAGGGCAGGGACAGGAGTCAGTGTCCAACTAATGGACCAAGGTGCGGGCCAGATACAAGCTCCTATTGGAGCAACATGGTCCCCAGACCTCAGCTCCTGTCCCCATATGCCTAGGTGGGTCATGTGGGTCCCCACAGGCTTCAGACCTTCCATGTGGACAGCAGTGAGCCTCCCACACCTCTCCTGGAAAGGAGGCCCACGGCCTTCACTCACGCTGCCTTTGCGCACGTAGTCAGGATCCTTATAAATGTCCCGGGCCAGGCCGAAGTCACAGATCTTCACCACATCGCTTTCTGATAGCAAGATATTCCGAGCAGCCAGGTCTCTGTGGATGCACTAGGGGCAAGAGGAGGTGCGAGGGGCAGTCAGTGAAGGCCCCTGGGGCTATGGCCATGACCACGTGGGCCCTGCTCCTCCCACCACAGGTCTTTGTGCACCCCCAGGACTCCCCATGGAGAGTGCTGTCCCATGAAGTTGTGGGGACAGCTGAGGAGGCTGAGGCAGGCCAAGCTGATTCCACATCCAGCTCTGCCACAGATGAGCTGGACATCTTGGGAAGTTATATCCACACTGTGGGCTGTCTTCTCCTCTGCCAAGTCGGGGAGACACCTGCCTCGACCTCGGGGTCACTGTGGGGTGAGCTAGGGCTGCTCACATCATGGCATGCTGGTGGGTCTGTGCCCTTCTCCCTCTGAAGGGCCTGCCAGGGCAGTCACCTTACGGGAGGCCAGGAACTCCATCCCTCGGGCCACCTGGAAGCTGTAGCAGACAAGGTCTTCCATGGTCAGCGGGCTCAGCCACAGGTCCTCGGCTGCATAAAGGAGCAAGGTGGGTTCAAGAGAGGGACCCCTCCATGATTCCCATCTTCCACGCCACCCCAAAGGGAGTGTTTGTTCATCCAACCCTTGCTGCAGCTTTCTGGGCCAGGCCTCTGAGGCCCCTGGCACTAGCTAAAAGCACCTGGGCCCTCTCTCCACGCCTCAGTCTCCACTCTGTACAACACCCACTACTTCCAGGTCAGTGAATGCGGCTGCATTGCTGGACCTCTGCACTTGCTACGTCTACTTGTCTGCCCCCCCTCTTCTGCAAGGCAAACTCCTATTCATCCAGTGATGCCCAAATCAAACATTAAAAGTTTCTATGAAAACTGGCCCCAAGGTGCCCTCCCTTCCTAAGGCAGAACCCATTACATGTTCTCTCCTGTAAGCCCCTCTTCCAGCTAAGCTCCTCCGGGAGGGCCCTGGGCCACATTATCCCACAGTCCCCTGGTCATGGGGCATCATGGTGCCAGGCACATTTGGGGCAGGAGGAAGCCAGGCTCTTACCTTCTTGGACGGGAGTGGCCCGCCCCGCCTCGCCCTTGCCCATCAGGAGCCTGGTAAAGAGGGCCCTCTCACTGCTCCCGGGCCTCCTCCGATCAGCTTTGGCACCCTCCACCATGGCCCGGAAGCGCCTTCGCCGCTCGGGGGATTTCTCCTGCGGATAAATCAAAGCGGGTCCGAAGCCTCTTCCCTCCCCTCACCACGGCAGAGGCATCACCCCCTGCGCACCCTGGCACCCCGCGGCCTCACCGCAGCACTCTGGCCCTGCAGGGTGCCCACTTACTGCATAGGGGCTGAAGGCCTCCCGCTTGGCGCGCAAAAAGTTGGAGAGGTTGCCGTACTTGCAGAACTCCACGATCACCATGAGGGGGCCTGGGACACGGCGGGGCGGAGGCCGGGTGCTTGGTGAGCGAGGCCCCCCGGGAGGGCCAGCCCTGCAGCAACGTCCCCGCCCACCACCCCTACTCTGCCCCAGCTCGGCAGGCGCCTCGCGCCCCCCCTCCCCGGGCGCCCAAGCTCCTCACCGTTAGGCTTGGTGCACGCCCCCAGGAGGTTGACCACGTTGAGGTGGTTACCAATGTGGATTAGGATCTTCAGCTCCGACATCAGGGCGCGGTGCTCGCTAGCTGTGGCGCCCTCTGGAGGTGACACAGGGCTTTCGCTTGGTGCCAGGTCCGCCCGCCGGGGCCCCAGTCCCTGCGCTTAGCTAAGTCACCTTTGGTGCTCTCGCCAGCCACCGGGACGCAGGGTCCCCAGCGCCGCCCAGCCGCCCCTTTGAGGCAGGAAGTTCAGGTGGGATTGGGAAGGATTACTGCGACCTGAGCCCCAGGCCCAGCTCGGGCTCCTATGGACTCCCTGCAGAACCTTGGGTGAGACCCTGGCTCTGAGCCTCAGTTTCTCTTCCTGCACCACATCGCTCCCAGCCCACCCAGAGCTGCCGCTCCTCACCAGCTCCGAGGCCCCTCCACCGCTGACCCCACACCTTTCAGCATTTTCACGGCCACAGTGTCACAGCTGCTGCCCTTGTTGATTCCGAAAGCCGAGGCTTCCACCACCTTCCCGAAGGCCCCGTGGCCCAGGACTCTCCCTGTGGGGGCAGGGAGCAGGTTCCAGGTGAGCGGCACTAAGGTAAGGGTGGAGACGGATGGGCAGCAAGGGCAGCCTGCGTGGAGGGCCCGGAAGGAAGGCCCAGGACGGCAAGGAGCCCATCTGCCCAGGACAGGAAGGCCCCGGACAGGTTGGGAACCCCTCTGCCAAACAGGAAGAGCCTGGAGAGCAGCGCGGGCAGGAGGAGAGGAGAGGCAGACAGGAAAGCCTGCATCCTCTCCCAGCAGGTGCCGCGGGCCCACCCTGCTCGGAGCAGCGGGGGGTGACCTCCAGGGCCTGGGAACTGGGAGCCCTGGCTGTGGTTCTGGGGCTGCACTCTCAGATGGGCAGGGCAGGCCGGGGGGGGGGCCAGG